TATGTTCGATGTTGCCTAGGCAGCGATTATCGGAACCCGAGTGGAGGATCTCGACCGGCTTCTCCTGAGTGACAGAATTCAGGGTCTTATTCTTATTCTATCGTTGCCCTCAAGATAAAAACTCTGTCGTATCGCTAATTTTTTTTTGTCTAGTTTAAGACACCTGGCGATTTCTGTTAAGGTGCTGTGGAATCGTTCCACTTGACCGTTTGATGAGCTATGCAGCGGGGACGCGTACACAATGATAGTTTTCGAATTGAAGGCGGCTTCATTGTCGCAATATATTGTTTGGATTTTGGGGAACAAATTTACGAGTTGAAGCAGGGGCCCTGTGACGTCCACTATTGTTCTGGACAGCACTGGTTGCACTATTGCAAACTTTGAGAATTTGTCAACGCATGTTAAGAATTGCTTCTTATCGGTTGAGAAAATATCAATGTGCAACATTTCGCCGGTATAGCTAGGAATGGGTGTTTCCCCGAGCTCCTGTTTCTTAAGGTGCCTGTCATATTTGGCCTTGGTGCATATTCTGCAATTTGCAACCACTTCCTTTGCTAGACTGCTCATTTTGGGGAAATAATAATCGGGGAGGACTTGCTTGGTATTCTCCTGAGCCGCCCTGTGTGCACGATTGTGTTCTTTCGTGATAATTTCCAACTGCTCGTTTCTATTGGTAACGTCTATCACAATATTCTTACAGTATCGAAACTGCGTAGCCGGGAAATGAGCAATTAAATCATGTTGAAAACTTGCCAGGGTGGGCAAATCGCAGTGTATCGCATTTACGATTTCGGGGTTCACGACCTCCTTCAGCATTTTCAAAATGGTGCTTTTGTCGGCGAAATTGATTAAGTGGCGAGTTTTACTACGAAACAACACCAAGGTTCGCTTTAGTCGGAAACGTTCGACCGTGTAGGTCATGGCCAGTTCGGTGTGAATAGTCGCATCGTCTGACTGCGAATTGTGGCAACAACAGATGTGTTAATCGGCAGAGCCTCGTTAGAGGTTGAAAATGCCTTAGATCTGTTTACGATCACGTTTCGGAATTGAACTTATACAGGTTCCGGTACGGCGATGTCATTTACGTTAGTATAATTTACATTGTCGCCATTATGATGCTGAAGCTTTTCAGAAACAGAACCATAATTTATTGTACCTTTCTCTGCGTCGAGTTTTGCTCGCACCTGAGCTAAGAAGTCAAATCCTATAATACCATCGAATGGTGTCAGCTCGTCTAAAAGACAGAACGGAGATGTTTTTCCTAAAATATTCATTAAAAATTTCTAATGAACTCTGTTAGAACCATGAATGGAACTAACTGTGAAAGGTAACATATTCGCTGCCATTTATATCGTCAGCCTGTTGCATAGTGTTCTGCAACCTCTGACGCCTTTGACCGGTCATACGTGCGGAGCCAAATCTTTTATGGCCCCGAACAGTTTCGGCCTTGGTAGGCTGACCGCTTCCAAAGGAAGTCGGCTGCCTATGTTGAGCCATGGTAGAGCCTAATTCCATAGGCTCAGGCGACTGATTACGATAGCTGCCCGCATTCTGGGCAGAACTATTTTGTTGGGGCCTATTCTGTTTTTTGTAAGAATGGGGGTTCCTCCCTTGGCCATCTTCGGCCCTGCTATGTTTTCCCTGCGGCTCCCTTGAGCGGTTTGGTTCTTTCGGTGCTCATAGGTGTCCTCCAAAGCCTTTGCATATGTGGCAGCAAAGGTAGTGCGCTCTATGGTAGCCTCGGATTCCCTAGCTAAAGCCAAAGCTGAGGGCAAATCCTTGGGCTGCGCTGGGAAGACTATGGTCTTCAAGGGTTTCCTAAGGCCAGCAATAAATGCATGGAGAGCATCCTCTCTAACTTCATTATTAAACAGAATGGCACTGTCCGGTTCGTGTGTCATAACGATCTAATTTGTTATTAACGTCAATCGCTTTTCTACGTCGTCGTAGTATTCCATTAGGCTAACTTCTTGCCTAACTATTTCAAGTCCCTGCCTAAGGACACGCAACGACGTTTTGTCCGCGTAAGTGCAGTCTAATCGAGCAATAATGGCATCGAAATTTAAGACTGTGTTATGCGCAACCAGTAGTCCTCTTGCTGATCCCCTGATTTTATTTCTGATGATCGACCCTGCCTGGTAGTGTGCCTCGCTACCGTGATACGGTTTGAAGATCTCGTATGCATCTACGGCCGACTGCCGCCATGACACATAGTAATCCTGTTCTCCCGTAAAATCTGGCATGGTCTTAACGATGTCAAGCTTGACTTCACACCGAATGCTTGTTTTCTACGGTTATTTTCTGGTAAGCTTCCTCTTGTGGTGCTTCCACGCGCAAGTTTTGCATTTGTTGTTTCACCTCGTCCAATTGTGACTGGAACGCCTGCTTCAATCTAGCTTCCTGCTCGGCTAAAGCCTGGCTAACAGCTCCAGATATAATTGCCTGTAACTGGGCAGCGTCCATGTCTGTAATTTTATTTTTTTTCTTAATGTTTTATTGAGGCGTACGGGGAAATCTGGGAACCCCTTTATGTCCTTTTTCTCTATTGATTCAGCCCATTTGGGCGCGCCGGCTAACTATAGTCTTGTTAGCTTTATCAATTTAACAAAATTTTAACAATAACAAAACAATCACATATAACAAATAATTTATGATAAGGGTCAGCTTCTGCTGGCGTCATCGGCAAATGTGGCCAACATAGATTTCCTGTATAGGCTTACATCTGGCTGCGGCATATCGTGGCTATACTTGCAGTAAAGCAGGGGGCCGAGGACACTACCTTGTGGAACTCCAGCTGCCACATTATGTTCGGTGGAAAGTGCTGAATGCAAACGCACAGCGAATCGCCTTCCTTCCAGGTACGATTTCAGCAACCCAAAATATGGAGCAGGTAGCGTCTGTTTGATTTTTAGTTGGAGTCCGATGCGCCACACTCGATCAAACGCTTCTCGAATGTCCAAGAAGAGACTGTTGCAATATTCCTTATTGTCGTAGGCAGTCAGAATTTGCTCGACGACCCGATGGAGCTGCTCGACAGTACAGAGGCCAGTACGAAAACCGAACTGGTGCTCAGGGGTAATTCCATGTGCTTCCATGATCGTTACAATCCGGGCAGCAATCAGTCTCTCAAACACCTTCGAAATTGAAGGGAGAAGACTGATCGGCCGGTAGGTGGCGGGCTCCCTTTCTGGCTTGCCAGGTTTGTAGATCATGAAAATTATCCCGATCTTCCACGGATGAGGGAAGTATTGCAGCCTCCCGATAGCATTAAAAGCCAAAGCTATGTAGAGGATAGCATGACTGGGCAGGGCCTTCAATGTGGCGTTGCAGATAACGTCTTGTCCTGGTGTTGTTGTTACTCTGCTTTGCAATGACATCGGCTATCTCGCAAGGGTCAAAGGGTTCCGTCTTGTCCAGCGGGTGGCGAGACCTCATCCACCTAGTGCGTTAGCGCCTCTTCTCAGCTATGAGTAGCAGGATCTCCCTGGCTCTGCCGCGGGCTGCCGAGATATGCTGCGAGTTTCCAATCTAGCTGCTGTCTTTATGTTGTTGGTGAACAGATTAATTGCATCATCAGCTTAAGAAAGTGTTGAGGGGCAGAGTGGACTCCAGCTGCGATTGGAATACCTCCAGCTTAGTGCGTCTAGTGATTAGCCGCTCCATTTTAGGGTAGCATATTGCCCCCGCATCCAGCGTAATTACCAGAGGCAGGTGGTCGGAGCTTAGCTCAACAACCGCGCTTATGCTAGCGTGGATGACCAGCACACCCCTTGTTAGCGCAAAAAAATGTAGCCTAGAAAGCCTCTACTGCCGTACGGGTATCTTGTTGGTCCTCCTGTTGCTAGCGAGTTCACCTCCGAGTTTAGGACGAGATTCGCTAGTCCAATGCCTCATTGGTTGCTCCGCCCGCAACGATGAATCTAGTCCGAGTCTAGTCCATGCATATCTCGGGGGGCAGTAAACCGTTCCAAAGCTTATAGGGCCAAGTGCTGTTTCTATGGCCGCCGGCGCAAGTTGCACCATGTTTGTTGCTATTGGTGTTAGCGGGAAGTGGGCAAGCCTAGATTTGATCATGATGGCTGCTCCGCCTTTGGCGTTGCCGGCACTCGGATCATTGACTGCCCCCTTGCAGTGTGTCTCAAAAAGCAGTAAAACATCGATTTCGTGACATCGTACGAAGCACTCAACTTCAGGCAACTTTGTGGATACGCCGTCGGCGTTCCACACTAGGATGCTGCAGATATGTTCGGCAAAATAAAATTTCAGTTGCAGCTCAGAACAGAAGGCAAAAATGTATTGGTTTCGTACTCAACAAATAATTTTCTGATTACACATATATGTTCCCTTTACGTTGGAAAACTTTTGAAGCATTTTAAGTAATTAAAATAAATCTCATTATTTTCCAAGAGAGTGTAGTGCTGAGTGTTCATATAAAAATATTAATTTGAGTCAGCCATGACCCATTTTTAAGCATATCATGTTTATTTGCTTAATATTCCCAACAGATTGTGCCAGCTGTTGCCAAAAAAGCCAAATCAATAACATTATGCAAAAAATGTACTTTAATATTTGATGAGATAGCGACGACCCCCGCAATTTTCCCTAGCTGCGCTCTTTTTCACAGGAATTGAGTACATGTAGGCCACTTGGCACAAAGCCCGGCTGTGTTTTCAATTAAATTTTCACAATTTTCCGCCCGAAGAGAAATGGCCTATGCGATAAATATCACGACAAATACTTCCGAGAGCGTTAAAGGCCTAGTTAGGGAAAATGGATCTAGGAGAAAGTGAGCAGGGTGAAAGTGAGTTTCCATATCCAACCACGTGCTTTAATGACCAGCAAAATGTACTGCAATACGAAGAATTGAATTGAATTTCAGATTTTAATCTAATTACCTTACCTATTATAATTCAATCGGGCTGGAAAGCCCAATTGCGGAAGCGGTCATCTAAAACTATGCATCATTTGAACTATGGTCAGTTGACTTTAGATGGCTTAAAATGTCTGACGTAAAGTGCCTAATTCTTCAGCAAATCATTGTATTATATTTAGTAGCTGAGGTTAGTGCAAAAAATCTTAAGTATTGAATAATTGGTAAAATAAATTTGCAGATAGCTTCCAGATTCGAGTTTACCAATGTCAAATGCACAAGTTTTGACAAGGAGTTTAGCGACTTTGAATATTGCTACCTGAAGTCGGTAAATCGGAGCTATAAGTACTTATCGGTTAAGTGCAACATGCTCAAAACTCCAGTGACTAAAATAAAAGTAAGTACCACTTTACCAGGTATCTTACGACTATATTGCTTGCCTTTCAGGTGAATGTAGCGTTATTCAAGCGATTCAGTGGCTACAGGCCCTTAATGTACAATGGCACAGTGGACTTCTACAGGTTCTTGAAAAATCCCAGTTCGAGTCCATTCGTTAACTTTTGGTACGGCATTGCTGTAAACTACTCCAATTTGAATCACTCGTGTCCCTATAATGTGAGTATGCCTATTCCATAGTAATGAAGCTCATACCGAACTCTATCCTGGTCCACAGCACGATCTGCGATTGGAAAAGCTTCCTGTCGATTTTGTGAACTACCAGCTGACAGAAGTGCTGCCCTTTCCTGAAGGAGATTATTTGATCGAATCCACTTGGATGGCTAACGACATTAAGGAGGTCCACATCAAATTCTATGGCTCTCTATTTTAAATCTACTTATTCGTTTCTCTGCAATTGGACTTTTATGTATTAAATAAGGAGTTATTCACTGCTCCTCAAGAAGGGATAATTTTCCTCAGTGCTGTCCACCACTTTGTGCTTTGGCTTTAATGCAGCAACATCATCATGATCTCCATCTGTTTTTTTTTGGGACGCTCGGAGGGAGTTGATGCTATCACTCAGCAACTGGAGGATGGCTTCGATGTTGTTGTTGGTGTCCATCGGATGCTGTAGTGGTTCTCTCGTCTCCCTTTGTCGGCTGCGGCTCCGGTCGTTAAAGTGCTGTTGGGTCTGCTGGTGCTACTTTGCTACGGCTGCATATTAGACGCCGCCTAGAAGGGTAGCAGTCGGCCTGCTTCCGGTGGTGTAGCGTAACAAACTTCTCGCATTGCCTTCGGTCCACTCTTGGGCCTCGAGCGTTGTAGATACTCCTGGTACTTGGTGCCCGAATAGTTGGCTGGGTGCTGTTTACCACAGTTGTAGCAGGTGCATTGCGAAGTGGTTCTATTACCACTCTCATATGGCATAGAGTCTTCACTGCTAGGATCGCCTTGTTATTGGCCGCAGCGGCAATATTGATGAAGAATATATTGACTGGCTTATTTGTGGGAGTGCCAGGCTCGCTGCGCTTTAGGGGCGTATGTACATCAAGCACCTTGTGACCAACTTTTTCAATCTCTTCTTTGATCTGGCTGGACAGTATGGCTGCTATGGTGCAGACCTTTTATGCAGACTCCATACGGTCTGTCCTCCTTAAGTTGATAGCAGTGGAACTCGTATTGCTCGTCCTTAAGCCAGCTGACGATACTTCGAAACGTGCTTGCATCCGCAGCGTAAAGTCGCATGACGCCACCCAGAGATGCTCTAGCTTCGACCTTGCTAATAATCTACCACTCTTTTAATGCCCAACATCAGCAAATTAACGTCGTTAACGCCTTCAAGCACAATTGGTGGTGGTTTTGGTTTTGTCCCACTATTTTTGAATTTTCACTACGAAAAGTAATTATATTCTTTTTCGCGTTGATTTGTTGCGTACTGACACACAGTGTGCCCAGCCAAACTCGTATGCAAAGTGAGACGACGAACAACGCAACGCTTCAAAAGCTAGAAGTTGGGCAGCAGTAACTTCGAAATTGAACTCAGAACACGAATGAAGAGTCATAACGGTATAGATAACGCGTTTGCTTGCAACGAATGCTGATCAGAAATTGGATCTAAAACGTATTTAATGATACGGGGACCTAGTGTCCATTCTTGGAGTTGGTTAATAAGGTTATGGATACTTATTTTGTCAAAGGCTTGCGAAAAGTACACCGATTTTATAGAGAGATGGCGATTTCAAAAGAGATAGAGAGAGGGAGAGAGAGAGGGAGAGAGAAAGAGAGAGAGGAAAAGAAAGAGAGAGAGAGAGAGAAAGAGACAGAGAGAGATAGATAATGAGAGAAAGTCCTTGTTGCTAGATGGTCTACGTAAAATAGACGGTCTAGGACAGATTTTCCCCTTTTAAATCCGGTTTGGTTATTATGAATGAGTTTGTTGGCTAAAGCACAACAAACGTTTAGCTATTTATCTAGGACTTTTGCTAGACATGGGTTCAGGGATATGGATGGTCTGTTTATTTACCTTAAATATAGAAAAAACTAACTAACAAGGCAATCTTTTTAGACTTGAGCAATGGAGCAATGGAAATTTAGGATAACAATGAAATGCATTAGGACTTCTGGATCATGGAGTAAAAGATGCACTACATGTAAGATATGTAATTTTTTTGTTGACAGACTGATTGGGATGGTGGGTGGGTTATTGATGTGTTTAGGTGTAGCTTGTTTGTTCTGAAATTGCAGGAAAAGTTATTGTCGACAGCTCCTTGTTGCCCAAGGCTTTAGAAATTTCAAATGGTTGTGTGGGTAAGAGGGTTCTGTATGGTTTGTATTTGCTTGTTGGGATAATGACCGCATAGACGTTTAATGTTTGCCCATATTCCCGATTTAGGGTGTATTTGGGTGGTGAATTGTTGAATGTGTTCTTGGCTTCTTTTTAGTGGTCTTCAGTATTTTGGGTTGGCCTTCTTAAACTCTAAATTGTTTTTAATGATTATATTTTTTTAAAGCATTTTCCATTTCTTGTTTTTTTTTTTACTTGTGTACAAGAATGGGAAAGTGGTCGCTGACATTAAGGTCGTCGATCACTTCCCATTTAGTTTCCGGGACATGTTCGGCAGAGACAAGCGAATGATCTGTATCCGTAAAGGTAGGTAGTTTCTTATATTATAAGATTTGTGTTCGGGGAATTTAATAGTACGTATTGTTGGTGGTAGGATATTGCGGGGCTAAAATTCTGAAGGGCGGGTGGGTCAAACAATTTTATAGTGATTTAAAAAAAAAAATTGAAAAAAAATACTTTTTTTTGATTTTAAAAACTTTAAAAAGATTCGAAATTATATGCCGGTGTGGGCAAAAAAAAACTAATTGGTGGGCAAACGATTCCAGCTTTCAGAATTCAAGAATTCGATTTTACCGAACCCAGCTTCATTGAGCTTCCGAGGCAGAAACCAGGCAAAGGTCTACACAGGCCGGACCTTTACTATTTTGGGTAGCAACTCTCTCGTTTAACGCTGAAAACCTCCCAAAAGTATATATTTCTCAGCAAGTTCAAACTGATGAAGTCACATGATCTGTATGGTCACCGTTTAAGATAATGGTTAACAGTCAAATCTACAATTTGATTAAAATTCATCTGACAATAATAGCAAATAATATTCGGTTGAGCTTTCATATTTTTGGTGACCGATCATGAGAATTCCTAACACGTAATTTTTTAATATGTTTCAACTAAGCAAGTATATCAAACAACAATAGTTATGAGAGTTCACCGACCAATTATAATAAGGTTTAGCCAACAGCGATGTCGAAGTAACAAAGCAAAAACGAATAACCTTGAAGAAGTCAACAAAAGGAGCGGAAGAAATGGTGAAGTGAATAAATGGAGCGATATGTTGTGTTGACAAATTATTCATAAACTAGGGAAATTCAGTTCTTAAAGCATCATAAAGAGGGTAAGTTTATATTTTTAATCAAAATCAAATTAATCTTTTACCTTCCTTCATTGTACACTGAAGAAAACGTAATGATTGTCGAGTATAAGGATGTATGTATGTTTTACGGAGGCACACGTAAGCTTCAATTGCGGGGATACGATCTGATTTTCAAGTTACTTGTATGTATGCAGGCTGAGGCTGCAACGTTGAGATCCACACAGTGAGGGGGATGCAGGAGGAGGCGACAAAGACCTGGCGTGATCAGAGAGGTATGAAGTGTGTGAAGTCTTTGGTTGGTCTCCCCTGACAAGAGCGATTATAACAAAAGTGCGCTTCCGGGTGCGAGCAGAACGTAGAAACAGTTCGTTATAAGAATGACGGATAGTAAGTTGAAACAAAAAAATAAAAAAAGATTTAATAATAAATAATATTCAATGCATCCGTTCACTAAGGGTTCACCTGTGCGATAATCTTTCGTTATCTAAGCATCTAAAGCCTCTCTCGCCTCTCTCTCTTCTCTTGCGCCTTTGGCTTCCTTTTTCTGTTCGTTCTGCAATCAAGTCGGTGAAACATTTACTTTCGTAACCCATGCGCGAATCGATGCTAAATCTCGCTCTAACAATCAAAATAAAGTATTCGTTTGCTAAATACAAATCAAATACAAATTTTTATATCGTAAAATAAGAGGTACCAAAAAAGCTTATTAGCTCAAAGCAAGTGATACAATCAAAACTAGAGAAAAACAAGATAGAATGCTATAGTCGAGTTCCCCGACTTTCAGATACCCGTCACTCAGCTAGTGCGAACGAGAAATTTCTTCATTTTCTTGAATATCGGTAGAAATTACGTAAAAAAAAAATAAGATAATGAAAAAAATTTAAAATTTTTCAATAGTGTGGGCCTGACAGTTTTGGGCATTTTGCGGATGGAAGAGTGGGTGTTGGAATACTAATAATAAAAAAATTAAAAATAATAATATAAGAAAGTATCAAAACACTATTAAGAAGTGCGTGCATAGCAGTTTTCGGCGGTTTGTGGGCGGTACAGTTGGAGTGGCAAAACGGTTTTTTGCAAATCGATAGAAATTTGCAAGACTAAACACACAATAATTTTCAATAGTGTGTGCGTGGCAGTTTTTCAAAGTTTGTGGGCGTGGTAAAATTTCGAAACAAACTTTCGCTGCGTTTATGTCTCTGAAAGCTTAATCTCTATAGTCTAGCTTTTGTAGATCATGGGATCGAGGCGTTCATACAGACAGATGGACAGACGGACGGACAGACAGACGGACCTGGCCAGTTCGACTCGGCTATTGATCCTGATCAAGAATATATATACTTTATATGGTCGGTACCACTTCCTTCTCGTAGAAAGAAGTTCTCTACGAGTAACGGGTATAAAAACGAGAAAGAACACTAAAGTCGAGTCTGATACCCATTACATAGCTAATGAGAGTGCGAACGAAAAAATTCAAGATTCTTTTTGTCATATCGATAGAAATTGGCACACGTGTTGTGGTCCGCATTTATTATTTCTGTAATAAAGGTCAACTCTGCTTAAGTAGGACTATACAAAAATGCCAGCAAAATGGATAATGTGGTTCATTACAAAATGAAATATGGTCAGATTTTACCACCAAACATCAATTATATAAAAGCATTGCATGCTTGATTCTTTCCTGGATCTTGATCATTATGCATGTGATGGCCTTTCTACTAAAACATCCATCTTGATAAACGATTTTGAAAGGGCATTCGATCGTGTAGGCGTGTATACAGTATTTGATCTACTTTCAAGGTGGGTGGTAGGTCAAAGGACCTTCAGATTAAGGCTAAACACTTTCTCTATCCATTCCCTGTGATCTTTATCCCCGGATCTTGGTTGCACTACGCACACAATCACGGGAATTACTATTGCTACTGATGCTAGTATAGATTGGTCGAGTGACGGGTGGTCT